AAACTATATATCGCATTCATGCTTTGATAACAGTGTTTTCCCCAGAAATTCAAACCACTGTAGTGGTAAAAATTTGCACACATCTGCATAATTACTCAGAACAAAAATTGTGATGATTTACCTCTTTATTTACACAATGCACAAAATTATTGACTTACAAACTGTTATTGTTTCAAGAGTGTTACAACTACACACAAGTTATTAAATTTCAGCAACTTTTTGTTTAAACAGTCAACAATGCCACAATGGAAATAACACTGTAGTAGTCAGAATAATGGCCATGACAGAGTAGAACCAGTGTGGCAGTGAAAAAAATCACTGTGGCGGTACTGCCATGCTGTGTATCCTGGGGAAAACACTGGATAAAGTTTTGATGTAAACGTAGAAAGGATAGGGGACTATTTTGAGGAAGGAGACAAAATTAGAATATACAATGGTGGTGAAGGGGTTAACAACTCACCGGTAGCATTACAATGACATGGCTGGCAGAAATCAGTGGGCGATGTTCTATAATAATCGTCTCTGCATCTTTCACAGTTAGGACCAGCAGTATTCAACCTGCACTCCACACAGTAACCACCGTGTCCGGTTCTTTCAAATAAATCTTCATTAAAGTAACATCTATTAGAAAGTCCATTACAGTCACAGGCTGTCAATAACAAGGTAATATTATCGTATCAGTAAATGAAATAGGTAACCATTGCCAAGGTACTCTGGGCTATCAGAACTCGGGCCAAGACATGCACCCCAGAACCCACAGAACTATTGTCAAGACAGGCACCTTAGAACATAAAGAACTAGTAGAAAAACACTGGCCCCTCAGAAATAGGTATCGGTAGTGCCAGTATTTATTTCTAATTTTTTATTTCAACCGATTTGATATAGATATAACACTAATAAGTAAACTGGAAGCCACAGAAAACTGAATACCTTGGTAAATAACACTGGATGCAATACAACAACCACTGGTAGCATAGTGGTTGTTGCATCAGACAAATGATCGGTAGACCCAAATCAGACTGAACAGGTCAGGTCGTCCCTTACCCTGGGTGAGTGTGCCACAGACTCAATGGGAAAGCCAATTCCACTGGCAGAGATTCTTTCACTAACGAATGCGACTTTGGAAATAGTGCATTAAATTGACATTTGATAGATAGATGGCCTGTCATGTAGTCCTAAACATGAATATGACTTCTGTGGCAAAATGCACTATGTGTCAGCACTAGCACTTGCAATTTGCACATACAAAAAAAAGTCAGGAGAGACAACAGTGACATTCAATGTCCAGAACTGTCGCCGAGCACAAAAAGATTTTAAACAAAACAAACAAAAAATCACCTTGGTAAACTGTAAACCACTATAAAGCACATTTTTGTAAACTGAAAATCTCTGTAAACTGGACATCTCAGAAAATTAAACACCATGGTAAACTGAATACCACAGTGAATGGCATAAATTTCCATGTACGAGGACCACTACACAAATTCCAACCATCACTGACTCACCCTGACATTCATGTGCATTGGTTGCCGTAGCTACCTTCCATGGTACATCGTTATAGAATGGCAGACATTCGTTACAGTCGGGACCAGCTGTGTTATGTTCACATCGACATACCACTTTAAAATCACCATTATCACCTGTACTTCTAACACATTCACTTGCATGTCCATTACATTTACATCTAAGACATAAAATAATTATACAAATATAAGCAATACAATGGGGTGATAAATGTACAGGTAACCAGCAATCGGCTTTCCCGTTAAACTATTTAAATGTTTTCTTCCCGCCAAAATATAAACGCAACATTTGCAAATTTTCATGTTTATTTCTTCAATTTCATTTTTAATTTTGTACAAAATGGACATGCCGATAATTTCCCATTGACTATAAGTTATTCATCAACATTTTTGAAAAAAATACAGAAAAAATAATTTTGTTTATTTAGTGAAAGGAAATGAATGTTAACTGAAAGAGTTAATGGAAAGTGGATAATGATACCAGGAAAAAATAAAAATAAATTATAAACAATAAATTCAAATGCATGTAAAGTGCAATATTTAGTGAAAATTAAGTTTCATTTGTAAAAGCAAATTGTATTTTAGGTTTTTTTCATGTAACAGTTTCCACTATTAAAGTATTTATCATATCCAGTATACCGATTTGAATTCTAAAATTATTTTTACACAAATCACAAAATATTAATTAATTTAGCATGATGATATTTCTCAATTATAATGCATCTGCATTGTATTCATAATGCACTTCATAATAAATTGTAAACTTTGCTTCAAGTGTTAATCTGAGGTTGAATAGTGTTATCTTAAACTTAAAGTACATGTAGTAATTACCTTCCACCAACTGCAAAATCTGAGATAGCGTAGTAATATGATCTCAACACATTGGGATCTCGGAATACTTCATCTCCAAATGTATTCAGTCTGTTCAGTGTCACTAAAATATCAGTAGCTGTTACCCATTCCTAGATATATAACAACAATTTAATGTGAATAAATTCCATAAAATATTTACTTGGAATTCACAACAAATCACTGAAAACCAACAGCGCAGTACGCATTAAAATTTCCATTACCATCTGCGCACATTTGTCCACGCTTTTGTGTAAACAATGTTATATCCATTCTACTTTTTTATAAGAGATTATATTATAATAATAACACTATTGATCAAATAGTGTTAGAGACATAGCAATTAAAGATGACATTTTTTTTAAAAGCCACTACTAAAATTGCTCTCTCACTTCATTCTCTAATGCATTATTTGAGTATTGGGTTTTATTATGGCTCGTATTTAGTCATGTGAATTTGGAAAAAGTGTGGGACTTGCTAAAAGTGTAGGACATACTAAATGTTTAATTTCAATTGAAGATTCACCTCCAACATTTAAGATTAAAGGGTCGGAACAAGGATTAATCAACAAATACGTCCAACAAATCAAAGAAATTCATACCATCATACATGTATATGTCGCATTATAGTCTAAATACCTGAATAAAGCTTTAGAAATGTACAACTCCAGTAAACACAAATGAAAAAGAACTTTAAGTGTTTTCACTATTAGAAGCACATGCACTTACGTCAACAATTATATTTTTTACACAATTTTTTTTTTTTTGTAATTTGTAAGCTTTGTAATTATCAAGTACTTTATAAAACAAGCAGCCTGTCGGCTGAGATAGCTCCGCTGTTAGCAATGCACATGGCAATTAAAGAACAGAAGATATCATTAGAAAATGAACAAATCTGAGAGAGGTCCACATGTAGTACCTATATGAATAATATATCAATTGGACTTGCGGTTTTCAACAAGAAGTCGAAAATATCACTTTTTACCAAAAAATACAAAAATATTCACCAAAATTAGAGAATTAAAGATATCATCATGAAATGAACAAATCTGAGAGAGGTCCACATGTAGTACCTATATATGTAATATCAAAGCAATTGGACTTGTGGTTTTCAACAAGAAGTTGAAAATATCACTTTTTACCAAAAATGACAAAAATATTCACCAAAATTAGAGAATTAAAGATGTCATTACAAAATGAACAAATCTGAGAGAGGTCCACATGTAGTACCTATATATGTAATATCAAAGCAATTGGACTTGCGGTTTTTAACAAGAAGTTGAAAATATCACTTTTTACCAAAAATGACAAAAATATTCACCAAAATTAGAGAATTGAAGATATCATCATGAAATGAACAAATCTGAGAGAGGTCTACCCAAGGTACATATACACCAAGTATCAAAGCATTCAGGCTTGTAGTTTTCAAGAAGAAGTCGAAAAAGTAAAACATTGACACGGACGACGACAACGGGCAATCCACTCATATGATAAGCTCCGCTCGACAAAGTCGACAGCGGAGCTAAAAATTGGTGATTAAACAGTTCAGACAACAGAAAGACTATAATACATGGTTGCAATCGCAATAAACCCAATATAAACTTGTCAGCATACATGCACTTCTATCTATTGGAGCTTTATTTCTTACAGAACAATCAAATATGGGAATTATAAATACAAACAATACATACCTGTAGAACTAAACTATTGTCAAAATCATAGGCACTGGGTCTGCCTTCCAAAGTACTGAAGGCTACATTGCCACCGGTAAGTGGAGAGATATCACTGAACTCATCTGTACAAATTGGTTTTGTTTCATCCCCGACAACAATAACACCTCTATTTTCTTGGTTGTACACAGACTGACAGCTACCACTGTAGTACTGCCACGGTATCCATTCACCATCGATGACAGTCTTTTTGTAAATGGCAAAGCTTTCTGGACGACTGGTGTGAAACTTCAGCCTCACATAGGTCACTTCAAACGACTTGCCTGCAAGGAAAACAAACTAAACAGTTAGCGATAACAGTTACAGGTTATTAATGTGAACAGCGTCATCTAGTGTTGAGGTGTATAAAAATAACATCTTTTGTTTTTACTATTCCCACCAACACGTACATCTGATTATAGACCAATCTAACGCAGATGATAAAGAAGTAAAATTTGAAGTCAGATTTTGGACAGTTTCTGACATTTTTATAATTAGGAGGATGATATGACATAATTTTATCACAATAAATTTAATAAGAAATCGATATAAGAAAAAAAATGAAAATAAATTCATTTTTTGGGAGTGCACACTATAACCCTTTCATGTATTGACCCAATGTGGCGACTTTATAAAAACTGTGGAACTGTCTATAATGAATGACCTTGACATTGAAGCCAAAATGGGCGTTTATTTTAGTAAAGTTATCAACATAGATGACTTGACCTCTCATTATACATGTCACATTCCTTGCTCTACTATTACTTCCTAAGTTTGACCTACAATCCTACTACAGTACACCAATCTCAACCTCCTCAATATGTATCAATCTGTCTGCAAATGTCTTCACATACAGAGGAGACAAGTAGTGAGATCTATTTTCTGCCATTTCAACAGACTTATCATGGTTGCTATAGCAACAAAATCATATAAAATGCAGTGACCAGTGTCTGGCCTAGTCCTAATGACTATCTTCCGTACAAGACATAACATGCCAAACAAGTCAACACCACTTGTATCCACACATATTATTCACATCCCTGTAATTTTTACCAGTTTTAAATATTTTTCTTGTGTGAAAGTAATTATTAATTTTGGGTAAAAATAATTTAATTTAGCCTTTTCACCACCAGACTTTCTCACTCAAATTTGTCTGCACTTTTATCTTGTATGTTCTTCAATACTGCTGGAAACGAACCCTAATCTTGGAGTTTTCAGAAAAAATTTGAATCAATTTTTAGTTTTTACTCAAAAAATGTTACTATTGCATGAATTGTTGATGGAAAGAGGGTGGTGGTTATCAAAATTCAAGTTAAAACAATTTCTAAGCATATCTTGCGGCCATAAGAAAAGGGTAAAATAAAGTAAACCTGCATATCTCTAACCCTGATGAATCATAGCACTCTTTGTTGTATTTTTTAAGTGATTTGATCGTAACAGATTAAACCACAGATTATCGAGGAGGATTACTGAAAGAGCACAAGATCACAGTAGGTAGAGATTAGAGGATATTTTGCAGATAATTCTTATTTACCTCGCCCTTATCACAGTACAACTGACGATGTCATAGAATAACATCACATAACTCATATTAGCTTTCACAGATTTATACACAAAATGCCTTGACAAGTCATACAACAATGCTATGTATGGAATACTCTTTCATCACTCATACCATATTAGGCATAATGTTGCTCCCAGAAAATGCTTTTCAAAAATAGAGTAGATTATTTTTTATATATATGTTCTAGGTTTCATTTTTGTCTTTTATATTATAACTGTTTTTGCAGATACAAGTGTCAAAAGTCATGTTTAAAGTTGTTACCCAGTTTTCCTAAGTTTAGAATTTTTACAAATCTTATTCAAAACCCGATGCATTTCCATAGCCATAAAATTTTAATAATCATACAATGTATACAATTTTGATTCATGTGCACTTTTAATGGAAATGTGCTTATAATATATGTATATTGAAATGTCCCAAACATATAAAAGATTAAATATAAAGAGTATGAATGCCAACTGCCAAGGGAAGTAAACAGTCACCCAAGTGATGGCAGTGGATTATGCTTATAACAAAACAATAATCATGCATAGAGCAATTAAATCTGTTAATTGCTTAATTAAATAATTAAAATACATGATAACTTTGATTGTGTTTGATGCATTCTGTGAAATCTTATAAGAGCAAGTGTAAAAAACAAATAGTTCAGTTTGGTATGCCAATGAAATTCAGTTTATACCCATGACATAAATAGAAAATTTTTGATTTTCAGCTTGTCCATTTAAGTGAGAAATAGAAAAGCCAATTCACACTATACTCTGAAGATATTGCGTCACACAGCCCATGAACACCACCAAATGTCAAATAAATCAGTCTCACAAGTAAAGCTAACCTTGACACAAATGATACAAATCACAGGCCTCTGAGAAAACTGAGAGTAGGGCAGTGATACCACAGTAAATACATTTATAGAACCTGTAGGGTTAACACAGTTAGTTTATTTCATTATCTCAAGTTTTTTCAATATATCTGGAATAGACGATACAAAAGTAGAATAATGTTATCGTATTAATTTTTACTACAGTTAAATCTGCTCAAAATGTATCACTGATTGTCCCCTCCATTCCAGACTCAATCCCGTAAACAATACAATCATCTAGCTATCAGGACCTATCAGCTGAGCTAGCTGTGTGGCCCTATAGTTGACAACTCTCTTCAAGATGTCTAGACCACAGAGACCAACATGGTCTGCTCACATGACAAGATTTATTTACAAATCCGAGTTTCCATAGAAACGAACAGAAAGCTGCATCTCCAGTTATTAATTGTTTATTATTGATTACAAATGTTTATCGTTAAGGGGAAAATGCAACAAATGAAAAGGTTATATTCAGATTTTATCATCCAAATTTACAAATCAGTTAACACTGCCAGGGTGAAATACTTCAAATGTATGGGTATAACAGTGTGGTAATATAAATTAAATATAATTCTCACTCAATAGTATTGGTATTTCAGTTGTCTCGTATGCCACGTCTGAATGGCTTTTAAGTACTGGTACTGTTTTTTCAATTAAATTTTTTAATTATTTTTACTGAAGAAAGTGAATCAGAAAAATTAAAATCCTGTGAAAACACATTTTTTCTTGGTTTATCATTCAATAACTAATCAAAATACAGTAAAAATGAACATCACACAAAACAGCCAAAATGGCTTTTCAGTGAATATTTAATTCCAGGTATAATAAAGTACTAGAAGCCAATATCCATTACACAGCCATGTTACACAAAGCATTCAAACTGTTTTATACAGCATAGCTCTCTATAGATGATTTGAGGTTCAATTATTCTGTCATGATATCATATTATTCTCTGAATATCATGGCAGACTGGAAACAAACACAGAACAGATAAATTACAAACATAATGCATGCAAGTTATCATTTTATAGGAAACATCCTGAAGCCATGGAGACAGTGAAACAAGCAGACCGAAAAACTAGCTTACACATGAAGATAAAATTCAACATAAAATTTGACTGCCAGAGACTGAGGTCGTTAAAGCTTACAGTGGCTATGGTGAATTTACTATAAAGGAAACACAAACAGCATGGAAGGGCATTCCATTCCAGGAGTCATTGCAGTGAACTTGAAGTGTCCATTAGAGCATGGCAGTCATCAATGCATGTAGCACAGGAAATCCCACCATGTAATGTGACATGCTTTAACACACCATTTCCATTTCTGCAATGTTTTGGGCTAATTTGGTTCCAGTCTTTGGATTACATACTTGGGATACATGAGACCATTGCTACATGTGACTACCTACATGTATGTACAGTTGACCATGAGTAGTCAAGGGGAACCCTCAAAACACTAGATAACTTTAACCATGGTGTATGTATCAAGTTTGTACCCCTAGAAAATGTGATCACAAATGTCTTATTTATGAAAAATGAGCAGTGGGGAAAAACTGTTTTAAACGCTTAAAATAGACAGCCATTGCAATGTAGGTCTCATAATGTACTACTTGTACAATTTACAAATCAACATAACTTGCTTGTAAGTTATTGTAAGTTAATAGCAGGGTCACAGGTCAATAGCAGGGTTACAGGACAATAGTAGGGTTGCAGGACAATAGTAGGGTTGCGGGTCAATAGCAGGGTTGCGGGTCAATAGCAGGGTTGTGGGTCAATAGCAGCAGGGTTGCGGGTCAATAGCAGGGTTGCAGGTCAATAGCAGGGTTGCAGTCAATAGTAGGGTTGCAGATCAATGACAGGGTAGCAGGTCAATGACAGGGTAGCAGGACAATAGCAGGGTAGCAGGTCAATAGCATGGCAGCAGGTCAATAGCAGGGTTTCAGGCCAATAGCAGGGTTTCAGGACAATAGCAGGGCTGCAGGACAATAGCAGGGCTGCAGGTCAATGGCAGGGTTCCGGGTCAATGGCAGGGTTCCGGGTCAATGGCAGGGTTCCGGGACAATGTCAGGGTTGCAGGGTCAATGACAGGGTTGCGGGTCAACGACATGGTTGCAGGTCAATGGTAGGGTTGCAGGTCAATAGTAGGGTTGCAGGCCAATGACAGGGTTGCGGGTCAATGACAGGGCTGCAGGTCAATGACAGGGCTGCAGGTCAATGACAGGGCTGCAGGTCAATGACAGGGCTGCAGGTCAATGACAGGACTACGGATCAATGACAGGGTTGCGGGCCAATGACGGCTGCAGGTCAATGACAGGGTTGCGGGTCAATGACAGGGTTGCAGGTCAATAGTAGGGTTGCGGGCCAATTGGTAGGGTTGCAGGCCAATGACAGGGTTGCGGGCCAATGACAGGGTTGCGGGCCAATGACAGGGTTGCGGGCCAATGACAGGGTTGCGGGTCAATGACAGGGCTGCAGGTCAATGACAGGGCTGCAGGTCAATGACAGGGCTACGGGTCAATGGCAGGGTTGCGGGCCAATGACAGGGCTGCGGGTCAATGACAGGGTTGCGGGTCAATGACAGGGTTGCAAGTCAATGGCAGGGTTGCAAGTCAATGGTAGGGTTGCAGGCCAATAGTAGGGTTGCAGGCCAATTGG